TATGTAGTTATCATTCCAAAAATTGAGCGAACAATTACTTATATTACAAGTGAGTTAGATGAAATGGAAAGAGAAGAATTTTATAGGTATAATATTTTTATCTCCCAAATCTTAATTCTCTCAATAAAGCAATTTCTTTTTTTTTTCTTTAAATAGCAATTGTGTATATATATTCATGCATACACGTGCATGAGCATATATACACAAATGAGCATATATATGCAATTACGAGGCTTGAGTAAACATAAAATAATCTCATTCTGAATATCTAATATCAACAGAATATTTTTTTGCAAAAATCTGCACTATCAGAAACTTCAAAATTTTTATTACATATATTAATTTCCTCACACTTTATATATCTATTAAATATTATTTAAACGAATGTTAATAATTTGATACTATTTTATTATTGATTCAAAATATTATTTTTTTTTTTTTAATAACTTTCTGATTAAATGTTTCAGTGATAAATTTTAATAAGATAAGTGGTTTATATTTATCTAACAAAACTTAAACTATATTTGAACAAAAATATCATAATTTTTCATTCATTTATTTTACTGTAATAGAGGTTTTCTCAATTCTAAGCAGATTTTAGCAATCAAATAAATAAAAAATAACATGTTTAAAATGGTTACAGAAAATCTTATAATTCTTTATATTATACTCTCATAGCCATTATCTTGTGGAAGCACAAGAATGAATCTATAACACGTTTATATCTATACAAATCTTGTAAATGAAAAAGGGGTGCAAAACTCATCTACAGAAATTTTCTGCCTATTTAGGAAGCTTATTACAATGCAGTAACTGAATAAAGTTAAAATCTGTTCAAGATATATGTTTTTGTTAATACACAATATCTAACCTTTTGTCAACCATGATTCTTATAGCTGGGGATGTTTATAGGATAAGTCAGAGTTAAATTTTCCAAGCCATTGCCTAGATAAGTAAGTTTAAAAACCACTTGGACATGTGTCTGTTATTTTGCAGTATGTTACTACTAGCAAAGTAATCATCCTGATCCTCTCTTGACAAGGTTATTGGGACAGATGTTATATAGATGTTTGACTTATTCATTTTTTAAAGGTGTAAACCTGTAGCCTATATAATTTTATAAATGCTTATTTCTGCTCTAGTATAATTTTTTTTTTTTTTTTTTTTTTTTTTTTTTTTTTTTTTTTTTTTTTTTGTAATGTCTTGATTAATAGGTATAGGTAGAAATTAGAAACGCTTAAAAAAACAAGACATGTTACAGTCTTGGAAAAAAGTTTAAGACCACCACATATAAATGCTATACTTTGGTGCCTAAAATAAAATGCTATAACTTGGTGCTATAACTTGGTGCTACTTTTGATTTTAGCTGCTGTGGACATTATTTTAATGCATTTATTTTTTATTTTTGAACCAATTTTTTTGTACTGTAATCATTTTTCATTAAATTTTTAGCTTTTCGCAAGTGGTCTTAAACTTTTTTCTAAGACTGTAGTAGCATTAACCACAAAAATTTAGTTATTTAAATATTTTTTTTTTTTTAAGTGACATTTCATTTGACCATTTATTATTCATATTTGCATTTCACATTCATATGAGTTAAAATTTGGTATATTTTTTTAAAATGACTTGAATATTATCTTATAAATATTGAAGTTCTAAAATTCATAAAATTGATGTTCTAAGTTTAAAAAATTGATGTTTTTATTTTATTCTTCTGTTTATTACATGTTATTAGGTTGAAAAAAATTCAAGGTAAGAAGAAAAAAAATAAAGAAGACAGAGAATTAGCTCTTGAGCAATATATGTCAGATAATCAAAGATTAGGTTAGTCATTTGTCCTAAATTTTATTTATTTTTTTATTTTTGAGTTTTTATAATTAATAAATTTAGTTATTATATTTGATATATTTAACTAAAAATATTGGTTGTAAATGTTCAGTTTATTAAGTGTTCATATAGAGTACAATATTTTCAATAAATAAAAATCACTGAAGTTTGCTACATAGTTTTAAAGGCATTGGGAAAGACTGTAAATTTTTTTCATATAATTTCTATCTGTTTAGATTTACAGCAACTTGAACTTTATTTAATAATGACTGAAAAATGTGGGAAAGGGAGTGCCAGTTGAATCCAAAAAAATTACAGTTTCGTAGCTTATTAAAATAAGGCTATCTCATCACAAGGTTGCTTACCATTACTAGTTGCAAAAAAGTTACATTTAGCAAATAGGCCAAAATCTTCCTAATGAAATCATAGACTTAAAATGTTTTTGCCATTTTTATATTGACCTGCACATCTGAGAAGTATTCAATATTTTTAATTAGAGGTAGATTTGCTTTAATATCAGATGATTTGTTTTAACATTATTATCACCGCGCATGATGCCATCATATCATCTGAAATAATACAATAAAATGTATGCTTAAGAACACCTTTTTTGAAATAAATAGAAATTATTCATTTTGAACATTGAAATTCGTCCAATGAAAGCTTGCACTTTGTCCTGAACTACAAATTTATAGTTTTCTAAAAAATCACAACAGAACAATGCTGTTACCTCACTCATGTTTTCCTTCAATGATCTCTGGTATGCTGCTTGATGCTTTGCTAAGTATCAGTGTGTTGCATTATTTGTCTTCATTTATATGTATTCAAATATGTATGTATGTATATATATATATATATATATATATATATATATATATATATATATATATATATATATATATATATATATATATATATATATATATATATATATATATATATATATATATATATATATATATATATATATATGTACATAAACAGCACAGACTTACACATTGCACCTTTACACCCAAATATACATATAGCCTGTTTTGCATGCTTTTTGTTCTTTTATAGATAAACTTTGATTGAACTCATCCTTATTATATATATTTTGTTCTTTTATAGATAAAATCTTTGTTTAAACTCATCCTTATTTAGATAATATATGGTTTAGTTAATAAGGTAGTGTGTGGTTGGAATGTAGATATAGACATCTATGTTATGTATATGTGGTAATTACGTGTGTTTGATGTGGTTATGAGTGATTTTTTTAAACTAGAGGCTTTTAACATGCTTTGTTGATGTATGTTTTTTCGTGTTGTTTTATTATGGTCTCAAAATTACCTTAATTTTAACCGTAGAGAAAACTTTTTGGAAGTTTTAATTTAGTTGTGGTCTCAAAGTTACTTTGATTCAGGCTGTAGAGAAAACTTTACTTCTAAACAATATTTTTTCCCACTTATTACTTTATTTTTACATCACGCCTTATATCATTGTTATGTCACCCAAAAATATTTTTTCGTTAATCACCCATTTGGTGTAAAATTATCTAGTCTTATTATATTATTAATATATTAATAAATATTGTAATAAGACTGACTAAATACTTAAACAGTATTTACTCAGTCTTATTACAATATTTATTAATATATTATTTGCATCAAAATTATAAAGGAATTTTTATGCTGTATTATCTTACATTCATTACTGAGCTTTGTTTTAATTTTCACATGCACAATTTTTGTCTTTTATTGTTATTCAAAGAATTTCTTATATCCTTCACTACATTTTAACATTTTTGCCAGTAATATTGGTTTTTGTGCAATGTTTTTTTTTTTTTTTTTGCTATCATAGATTATTTAATTATTGTTATGATTTTAGGTTGCGCGGGTTGCTCATTTTCTTACACTTTTGATTGGTTAACATAACTCAAATGACAACAGCATCCAAAATTGGTTGCAATGCAACAACTAATTTCTTTTTCTATATAAAACTATTATTAAGAATCACAATAAAATACAAGAACTTTTAAATAGTATGTTTCTAATGAACGCAATGCACTTAAACATAAACAATAAGTCCTCAATAAAAATAAAATAAATTTATAAGCAACGTATTACTAGAAAAAATCATTATTAGTTCTAATAAAGATATTTTTAATGCCTATTTATTTGCTAATTACTGTCAATTATCGGCTAGTTATCTACAAAATATGTGTGAAAAAGAGTATGTAGATACTAGTTATGAATAATAATAATAATTTTGTGATAGTTAGTATAAATTACATGTATATATATAACTTTATAAGATAATTGTGCAATATTATTTGTATTGTGCAATATTATTTCATTTGTCAATTTATTAATGATATAATCAAAACTTATTTAATGAATGAAATAATCACAATTATTAATGAGATAATCACATCTTATTTTATTAATGAGGTAATCACTACTTTCATATAATATCAACAAAGAAAAATTAGTTTACCTAATAATGCAAATACATTTTAATACAAATTAACATAAGAAACTTAACAGTTATAAAAAACAGTTATATATATAGAAATCAGTACAACATAGCACAACATGTAATGAAAATAACAAGTAATAAAATAATAAATTTAAAAATATTGCACAATATTTTGTTAAAACTTTAAATGTTATATAAATATTTTAAAAATCGCATTACTTACTCATTTTAACTAAATGATACTAAACTAATAAAAACTAGCAAATGATACTAAACTAATAAAAATCATTAAATGATACTAAACTAATAAAAATCATTAAATGATACTAAACTAATAAAACCCAGTAAATGATACTAAACTAATAAAAACCACTAAATGATACTAAACTAATAAAAACTAGTAAATGATACTAAACTAATAAAAATCATTATCACTAAATGTTTTTTAGTCAACTAGCTCTAATTTAATTTACAAACAAATATTTGTTTCAATACAAATGTATTTTTTTCTTAACATAAATAACTCAAAATGTAAGGCCAAAACAAAATTTGTTTGTAAAGTACATTTTTAAGTAAATCCTCACCACGTCCCTGGTAGTACCGCGCTCAACTCGTTTCTCTGCGCAGCGGCCTTGTTCATCAAGGTTCGTGTTTCGGAGTTATAGAGTTGAGAGAGGGTTATAGCCACAAATAAGTAGCCTCCTCGTCTGTAGTGGCCTTCTCGGCCTTGAGGAGGTGAATTAAAATAAAAATAAAAAAAAATAATAATCAAAAGTTTTAAATATCAGTCAAATTATTTCTAGAGCTATAGTTGCCAGTGCCTTTTTTTATTGTTATTATTAAGTGCATTTTCTGGGTTTTAAAATTTGAGAGCTACAAAATTATAATTTACAGATTCAGCAGGTTTTAAAATTTTTGGTACCAAATTTTAGAGTTGCAGCATTAATACTAACATTATAATGGTTATTATAATGGTAATAGTAAATATTTTTGGCCCATTTCCTGCCTTATTTTTTAATCAAGAACAAATTTCAAGTTGCTCAAAGTCCTTAAAAAATAGAAGTTTTATTGCATCACAAATTGAAAGTTCTTCAAAGTTGCTAATAATTGGTTATTATTTATTTCATTGTTGCATAACAGAATATTTTAAGTTATTGATTATAACTTTCATATTGATAAGTTTAAAAAAAAAACAAATAAACTAGCTAATAGTTTGGAGTTTCAAGAACCATAGTTTTAAATTTCAGTTTGGTGCAAAATTGGAGAACCATTAAAAATTGATAGTTTAATTATATATATAAATAAACAATCCATTTAAATAATTTATATTTTTATATTTTTTAATTGTAAGAAGAGCCATTATATATAAATTAAAGTATTATCAATAATATAAAAATAAAAAATCTGTTTCAATTTTATATCTTGTTGTACCTAAATATATATAATTAAAGTATAAACAACAGCTGTGTACCAACTCAATTTTTCTTTGTAATATTTCGATCTTTTTTTGCGCAGTTTGTCATCAGAAATTAAATTTAATTACAAAAAAATCAATACAAGTATTTCATAATAATGTCAAATAAGACATTAAAAAGTCATTACTGATTACTGACAACATAAATATAAAATTATCAAATATTTTTTGGATAATTTTTTCAAACAGAGGCCTTCAACTGATTGTAGATTAAATTACACCATTGTCATGGTTGAGATTAAAGAGTGTTTTATTTTTTTGGTATGTTAAGGCATAGTTTGTTTAAATAATTTAGTTTATTACTAGACTTAAAGGTATATTTAATGATTTTATTGATTTTCATTATTGTAGTAATATCTAATTTTCATAATCTTCATTGATGCTACTCAGTTTGTACTTTATCTTTTTTAAACTATCTATTTCATTAGTTTCTGTAAAAATATGTTTAAAGTTTATGTAAGTGGTTTTGTTACGGGTTTATGAAAGTGTGAAACATCACAAATGTGATCCCAAGGTATATAATATCAACAAAACATTTTAAGAATATTATAGATGAATTTCTGACATAAAAATCAGGAAGAAAAAGAGTGAATTGATCTTCTTAATCGAGATGGATTGCATCTAATTTGTTTTTAGGAGTAAAAACTCCTAAAAAGGTCATTTGTGAACAAATTAGACGCAATCCAGCTCATTTAAGAAGATCAATTTAGAAGGAATTTGGAACCAATTCTAAAACTAAAAGAAATTTAATTAAAGTGGACTTATGGATGAAAGCTTGGAAAAGAATGGTGGCAGTTAATATTGAACTTTGTTTTCCAAACATTGTTAGTCTTAATAAACTGGCTTTGTGAATTACATCTTAATGTAGAACAGTCTTAAACCTAAATCAACTATCAACTTTAGCTGTTAACAAACCATATGTAGCTTTTATGATGTTTGATTTAATTTATTAGCAGTTCTTTTTCTTCTAAACATAGTTTTTAAATATAATCAGGGTTACTAATCAGTGGGATTAAAAAAAAAAAATTATGTTGTTGCAGAGATTCATATGTCTGGCTTTTAAAATCCGCATAAGAACATCAGGTAATTCTACAGACAAATCCTCTAGATATTATCTATTTTGATTAGATTAGTAAATTTCTTGGTAAAATATTTTTAACTTTATCAGCAGCTCACTTGTTATATATGCTTTTGAATATATAGATTTTCAAATGATAAGACATAGTTCTTTTTTTTCTTCTTTTGATTGCAAAAAATACATATTGATTTATTTATTGAATTCTAATTTCAAAACAGCAGAATCTGAAATGTTTCTTGCTGCCATTATCTAAGCTTGCTGAGATCATTACAATGTTCAACCTGGCCTAACCTACCTAACATAAGTTTGTTTGCACTGAGCCTAATACTTGTAAATGTGAAATAATCACTAAAAATTATGTTCATTGTTAATTCTTTAGATTAATTTAAATTGTCATCTAAAGTGTATTTTCCAGTTTTAACAAAATGTGTAAAGTTATTCTAAAATAGTTCAAACCCTGTAAAAAGTTTAAGTACTGTTTTAATTTTTTCTAGCAGAAACTAGGCTTTTCAATGAAAGTATATTTTCTGTTTTAAATTCTTTAACATATTTAACATCAATAAGAGGTCATAATTTAAGAATTGAAAGAGAAAATGTTAAACATTCTTTGTCTCAACAAGGATTCTTTAGTAATCGTATTGTGAATGAATGGAATGCATTACCGATTCACGTGGTGAATGTGCAGTCTTTAAACTCTTTTAAAACAAGATTTGATAGATTTTAATTATAAATTTTGTAAAATATATTCAACTCTAATTTTTTTTTATATATAGTTTTGATTTTTAACAAATTGTAAATTATTTTAAATGAAATAAAGAGTATTTTAGTCTGTCATAACGCATATATAACCATATATGTGTTTTGCAATTAACTCGCTACAGCATATTACTATTACTACTACTATTTTGATAACTAATGCAATGTCTCCTTTTTGTGAGGTTTCCCTAACTCTGTCACAGCCATCAACAGTTGTAAAATATAAGAGTGTTAGCAGTGCCATAGAAAGTGTTCCTGTTATGTTCGTTATGGTGTGCATCAGCAAGGTGTTATCGTTTATTTTGATAAACAGGAATAAATAACTTTGGGTATCATATACTATCTATGATTAAGCTCTCTAATTATTAAAAATATGAATAAATATCTGCTGCAGTGTTTATAAACAGTTTTTATAGAAAATTTTCAAACTTATATTACAGTGTTTATAGAAAATTTTCATCCAAAACCAACAGAAATATGATCATGATTGCTACAGATTTATCTTCTGGTAGTTTTTTGTTCTCTAAAAAAACTTTAAATAGTAAGCGTAATTATTTTTGTCATCTTGAGTTTTGTCAATTGATTATTATTTGTCAATATTCAATTTTTAAGATTAAATATTATAATGTAAAGTAATATATTTAAAAAAAATCAAAAATTTCTTTTAATGTATAATAACTCATTGTATGTATTTATAATACAAAATTTTCCAAAAATGTTTTTGAAAAATTAAAAACTTAAAATAAAGTTTGAGAACTTTTAGGAAGAATTTTAACTTTAAATAAATTTTTTTTACAGTTTTTAGTTTTTCTTTCAACTTAACTTTTTAGTATCAAAACTAATGTAATTTCTACAAGTAAAATCTGAAACAAATCCTTACTGCATTTATCTGTTTTAAGTTGTAAAAGGCCACTGAATTTTGATCTCTGAGGCTGTGCCTTGACTCAGGTTATAATGAAAAAAAGCTGACAGACCAAATTTAAGTTGTTGGGTATTCTAGCTAATTTAGAAGTTTAAGAAGAAAATACCGAGTTAATATATCTATGACAACATTTTAGAGAAGGATGTTATTAAGAAAGGGCTCTGTAATATAAATAGCCCAAAATGTTTTTAGAAGCATAAAGTATACCATTTATATGCAGTTATACAGTGTTATACAAGCACTTTTGCATTTGCACTTTCGTAATGGGATGAAAAAAAATTGATTTGTAACTAATGTAAAACGGATATTAATAAAAAAAAAAACTTTTATCTCCATGGATAACTAAAGTTCTACTAAAATCGTCGAGGAAAACACTGAAACTTTATAAGAAAAATTTTAAAAAGTAAAACTTATTCAAATGAAGTATAATATAAAAACTATAAAAAAAATTTTGAAAAAATCAAAAAACTTTACATGTTAAACTTTGTTTCTAATCTATAAATTTAATCTATAATTTAAAAGAGCGATAAACAAAAAAATCAAAATGTCTTATGTAAAGCAATATATTAAAAAAAAAATCAAATGCAATTTCTTTAGAATATATATGATATATAAACCTCTATAATTCAACTTATTAGTTTAACCACTAGTTTACCATTGACTTTTACATTGACTACAATAAAATCTGGTAAAAAAGATGTTGATGAACTATTAATAGATATACTTGCTTCTTTTTTTATTTAAGTTGTTTGTTTCAACAGTTTTTTCGAACTTTGAGACTTTAAGGTAAATTACATTTTCATGAGTTTTGTAAAACTTTTTTTACCTAAATTAAATATAGAACTACCTTACTGAAAGCTGTGTCTTGACTCAGCAAATTTAGCAGGACCACAACGACACGAATATGTGGATATTTCTGAATTAAAACAAATGTAAGTGAAAAAATGGTTTAATTTCCGTAATATCTCCAATATTAAACATTCTTTTTTGCTATGTGATCACGACTGCCCCTTCAGTTAAATCAGAAAATAAGAAAATCAAAATTGATTTTTTAGTTTTTTTAAAATAGAGGTCTGGTGATCATTGTCGAAGACTATTAGAAACTGCAAACGACATCATGGTTATTTAAACGAGAAGGAAACAACTCAAATAATTAAAAAAAAAATTTGATAAGTTTCTAAATGTTTTCAAATAAGTTTTTGAAATTGCAATATTTTTTTCTTTATGTATTTATCTATTTTCAATTCAAATAACATGGTCAGTTCCTGAAGTTTTGACATTCATACTGTAAATGATAAACTTAACTTTTTACTTTCTTTAACAGATACGACTGATGGTATGGATACTGCTATTACTCGTGAGCCCAACTTGTTAAACATGGAAGGCGATGACGAAGATATTCTTTTTAACTAAAAGATTGTTAGTTTTTTATATATTAATTTGTAATTGCATTTAAATCTTATAAGAATAGAATTATCTTTACGAATTGTTATATATTTAAAACGATACACAAGCCACCAAACAACACCATCGAACCAGTCGACGTTAATTTTTATTTTATTTTCTCTTAAAATTGATTTGTATCAACTATTAAAATAAAGCTCATAAATCAATTATTAATAACTCGTTATTTATTTTAAAAATACTCCTATTTTGGTAATTAATTAATTAACGCTTCTATCGCAATCGAAATAGGTCTAGAGTTCTAAATATAATGAACCATACAATTCCCTGGAACGTAGTTCTAGTTAATCAGAGGGGTGAAGTCAAAAGGCTATTTCGTTCCCAGCTTCCAATCATCGTAATTTTTTGCAATTGATCAAATACAAAGAGAATTGGTTGCATCATGGAAGTATAAAACAGATGGAAGTTCATTAAGCCGCAAACATCAAAGCAATCTCAAGTCGTCTCGGGAGTATGCTTGTAACCGACAATAAAAAAAACAAGTTTCACTGGATAAAAAAACAACAAAATTCACTGAAATGATCTTTATTAAAACATTAAAAAATGAATCATTCTAGGGATATGCTGCAAATTTTTAACCATTAGTAATTGCAATTATTCAACAAAAGGTTTATTAAAACTCGGTAATTAAATAGAACCACTTGATTTCAAAGCATATGTTAGTTTAAGCTTCTTTTCTTGCTTCAAGTCATAACACGACATTTGATAAAAAAGACAACTAAAACAATTTTTAAAAAATCAAAAAAATTGTTTTTTAAATAACTTAAGTTTAAAGTTTTATTAGATGTATATCATAACTCCATTCATTCTTGTAGTACTCCATTCATTTAATATAAAGTTTATATAAAAATTGTTGTTTGCCGTTACGTTGCGCCATTTTTAATGTTTTTCTTGAATATTATTGGCGAACCTTCGAAACACTATATTTTTAATCTATTATAAACGTAACTATTTGCGTCAACGTATAAAGATTAAGCGTTTAAGTACAGTCTTGATGTCGTTTTCTTATTGTTTACGAAACAAAAGGTTACAAGCATAGTCCCGAAGAATTTCAATGCGGTTGAACTTCCATCTGTTTTATACTTCCATGGTTGCATCGAAACTATTACAGTTATTAACACAAATATCACACTAAGTTAGCAGTTATATTAATTTTATATTTCTTTCTTACTTTGGGTATTAAACTTTTGCTACCGCATTACGTGGACTTACTGTTAAGTATTTTGTTAAATAAAAAAAAGTTTAGAAAAAACCTTTTATCAAGCGTTGTAGAGTTCCGTTATAAAAATGATTTTTATTTTAATTTTAGTTACAAATTATTAACGCTGTAAAGTAGCTGTTACTTATCTATACCTAATTAACGCTGTAAAGTAGCTGTTACTTATGTATACCTAATTAACGCTGTAAAGTAGATGTTACTTATCTATACCTAATTAACGCTGTAAAGTAGCTGTTACTTATCTATACCTACTCTTACGGATAATTTCCATGGAAAATTTAAGGAAAAACCCATGGAAAAACTATGGAATTTCCATGGGTATTTGGAACACATTTTCAAGGATAAACGATGGGTTTTCCATGCAAAATCCATAGTAATTCCATGAAAAACCAATAAGTTTACCAAAGGAAATCCATGAGTTTTCCATGGAAAGGTGTTCCAAATTACCCATGGAATTTCGATGGGTATTTGGAAGACTTTTCCATAGAAAACTCATGACTTTTTCAAGGTGAAACAGCATGTTTTGTTTTCAAGTTTTTTTTTTTTATCTAATGTTATTTGAATTGTCATGAACCATAAAAAGTTAATTTCATCACGCAACTCGCTTATATTATTGAGTTCTTTTAATAGATGGATTACTTACGCGGAATAAAATCAATAAACATAATAAAATTTAAATCTTGTTGAATCCTATAAACCTTTGAAAAATAATAGCTATAAGGCATTTAAAACATTAAATTTTTACTTCATCACAATATCTAACGTATGCATATGTATAAGGATACTGAAAATAAACAAAACAAAAAATTACAAGCAATATCATATTATAAGCAATATACATACAGTGTTAAACAATTGAAATAGATTAGGAAAACAGTTTTTACAGAAAATATAAGAATAAACATGTTTATTATTTTATATTAACTATTTGATAAAAATAATATATATAAATTTAATAATTAATAACTTCAAGTTTCATCAAATTAAAAAGAATTATCAATACAACATATGCAATCAAAAAAAACCATCAAGACCATTTTTAAGTGCGATTGCACCGCCAACTGTAATTATTGTTTTCACCACAGTTAGTATGATTGTCTACTTCACCAATCAAGACAATATATCATACAATTAACATACACATAATAACTAGTTTTCTTCATTTACTAATTTATTTATAATTCTAATTAATATGTATTATAACTTACTTTATAATTACTCATCAACTCACAACTTTTTGAATGTTCTATATAAATGTTGCCAAATGTTGGGTAACATTTATATAGAAAAAAAGTAGCAATGAATATATCATTATTTATAAATGATAATTATAAGATTATTACCTATTTTTGCCCAAATAGTCAGCATGATCTCAACATCATTTATATTGCCAATCAAAACTACGTGCTGATAATGTAGTAATTTAAATAAAATGATAAATTTAAAATAAAAGTATTTACGCACATTTATAAACGTTACATGTATGTTGGTAACATTAGTATAGAAAAAGGTACCAACAAATATAATATTACTTTTAATCGTAATTTTAAAAAAGCTTACTTCTTCTTTGTCAGATCTATCTAAAAGATGTAAGACATTATTTCTATTGGCAGTCAAACTTGCTTGCTTAAAATGCTGTAATTTAAATAAAATGATTAAGTTAAAATAAAAGGACTTTTTATAGTATAACTTTTTGAACTTAATCGTTCACACACTATTAAATTGAAAAGTTTATTTTATTTTTACTTTACTATTTAAAACATAGTAAATATAATTAATTTATTTACTATATTATATATTATACTATACTTAATAAATTACATAGGGGAGACCGGTGCTAGTTGGCCGCAGGGATAAGTTAACGAACTGCATTTACCTTCAGAGTCTTTCATCAAAAAGTGAAAAAAATTACACAGAACCTTTCTAATTAACCATTTCATCATTTACTATGTCACTATTGTCAGGATTTGCGCATGCGCATGGGAGATATTAGGACATGATTTTTTTGGGCAAAAACGTAACTTTTGGAACATCGCTTTCTTTTTACTTTACAAAGAAAATAGTTAGTCGTATCAAAAATAAATTATTGTAAAAGTTCCAGTCACAATTGGTTTACTATATCCAGTCAGGCTTTTTTTCAAAGTTGCCGTTTTTCAGGATCTATAGACTGTTTTTTGAAAAAAAGGCTTTCGGGGTAAGTGAGCAAAATTTTCAAAATTATTATTATTATTTTTTTTTTTTTTTGATTTTTAGCAATATTGAAAAAATTTATTCTTACAAAAAAATTTAAAAAAATTATTTTTAGGCTTTTTTTTTCACATATAAAAAGATAAAAAGCTACTGTTTTGGCTGTTATACGTACTAATATTTGGTACCAGCTTAAAGTAATATTAAATTTTTGGTTTAAATTTGTTGCTAAAATTAATACTAAAAAAATTTCTAGTAGTTTTGCACTTAATAGTACATCAATAATCATTTTTTAAAGTAATTTTTTTGTAAATGAATGCATATTTTTTAAGTTACCTAAATTAGAAAAATTATTACCTAATAGGGCTGCAGAGTAATGTTATAAAAAAATAATATTATAAAAAAAAGGCTACAGTTTAATATTATAAAAAAATGTGCTGTTAGGGCTACAGAGCTCATAAAATAAAAACCGAGCTTACTAGCCCCGGTCTCCCCTATATGTAATTTATTAAGTAAAGTAATGTAAAAAACATAACCAATATTAAACTGTGTGCATAAATTAATTTATTTTTACTTAAGATAAGCACACTTAAATAATAAACAAGTAAAAATAATTGTATTATAATAAATAATAGTGTATTATTTATAAAAATTGTTTTCATATGCTTATATTTAAGTGTGAAGTAAAATCTTGTGCATTAGTCCCCTTCACATATTTTTAGAACTTAACCATAGTTTTCTTTCTCCTACTAAATTGTTCTCGGAACATCATTACAAGTTGAACCCGAAAGACTACGCTTTTATCTTTTCTGGTTAATTCGAACTCAATTCACCATTTTATTTAGGCAGCTTTTTAACAATTTTAAAAATTATTAAATGCATATAAAAACTTACAATGTTATAAATGACATAAATGATGAACAACATTATTTATATCGCCAGTCAAATCTGTCGGCTTATAATGTAATAATTTAAATAAAATAATAAAGTAAAAATAAAAGGATTTATACACAAACTATTAGATTATTTACATATTCTAATAGTTCTGCTATTTAATAGTAAAGAAAAAACATAATAAACATCCCTACTAGATCTAGTCGCTAACTTAATCCAGAATTGAATGGTCGCGTCAACAAAAAGACAAAAACAACTTAACAGAACTAAAAAATATCAAAACATTTATCATCAAATAAAGTTTTTTAATACTTAATAATCATTTACCATACAATAAAGTATTTTGACTTCAAAAATTTTTATGCAAACTAAAGCCATTTAAAAAGAATTAAAAAGGATAGTCCTAGTTATTTAATGTACATTAGTTAGTTAATCCGATACACTGCTTATCTAATCTTATGCAATACACTGCTTATCTAATCTTATGCGATACACTGTTTATCTAATCTTATGCGATACACTGCTTATCTAATCTTATGCGATACACTGCTTATCTAAACTTATCTAATGTTCTAACTAGATTAAAACTAAAATATTTGTAGTAAACCAAGATATTTTGATTCAATACCAAGATCATTACCAAGACAGTTAAATGAGTCTCGAAACGTCTTGGGAATAACATCTCATATAGTGATTATAAAAAACATATAATTTATAGTCTT